ACGATTCCTATTGTTGAAACTGGCATAAGACTACTTATTTTTGTGTAGAAGCAATAAAGAGTAAACGGAAAGTAAGGGGTAAACTTGGTCACGTGGTTCAAATTCACGTCTGCCGTTTGGCGTAAACGTGAATCTCAATCTCCCTAGTAATCTCATTTGCCTTAACGGAATTTGTGGATGGCCCCCCTGCGCCGCCCCAGATTTGGGGAGTTTATACAGCCCAACCCGTCCATGTGCAACCACCTCTCGTAAGCTCTGTACCACGTGTTCAAACACTAAATTTTTCCCAGTCGACGCCCTATCAACGACCACCTTTCATAAGCGTCCGCGACCACTTTTTGACCTGACGGTTTTATAAATTTTCATTGTTTTTTAAACCTCTTGCTTGTGAAAGGGTTTGATTTCTATATATGTTCGTTGAAACTCGGAGTATGCAAAGCCCGTTTAGTGACAGCATGAAACTACCACATATTGTAGCTTAGAAATTGAACATAAGAACATACCCATTGTAAATCAATTCTCGTGACCGACTATTTCCTGTTAGCGACCACTAAATAGCGTAAAAGTCATCAGTTTCATATCTGAGGACGAAGGCAACGGCAACGAGAACGGCAAAAAAAGGCATTAGATTTAGATTGGCAAAACAACAACTTTTCACTTGCATTATACTTTTTCGTGCGTTTCTTTGCCGTCACTACAAGACTACAACGTGAAAGTGCCTAATTTTAAGTTTTGTGGAGGACGTGAACACAAGAAAACGACTTTTTTCCTTTTTTCTAAGTTCGATACAGTCTTTTAGACTTCAATTAACGAAAAATCTTTCCAGCATTTTATGACTTGAACGAGATGGAATAAGGGCGATAAAGTTTGAAGCAGGGCGAATTCACTTTTTAAGAGACGTCTTCGCAGCAATCGCCGTCTTTGTTACTTAAGCTCCCTAATTTTCGCCGGAGGTTGGAATGTACTCGCATAAAACAGCTAAAGTGCGCAAAAGTCCCACCGACGGATATGTTTCTCATTTCTTCCATTGAAGTTATTAAGTTAGATTATAGGCACGTTTTAAGGTACATCAAGGGTTCATGACACGAGCATGAAAAACTTGCTTATTTTAAATTGTTACTTCTACTTTTGTGGGATCTCCGCTTATAAGCTTGGCTCAGCACTGAAATAGTTTATAAAAAGTTGGTTAATAAAGGAGCAGGCTAGTTTGATCTCTGTTTGTCGTATGTTTTTTTTTTTCATTACTAAGAGTATAGGAAGAACTTTCAGCAACAGTAAAGAACTACACATATTGTAACTTTGAAATTATATGCAGTTTTAAAATTCCCTTCCAAAGGGTAGGCGTGTCGGCAGCTCTTCTTGGAATAGACCCTTTTTAGTTCGCTTCTCGTAAGCAACCATATCGCGTAAAGGACCACTAAATCTTCGCATTTTGGGTGCTCCCATCAGGGACGTTTGACTGTAGTTATTAAATAGACCCAGTGACATACGTTACTTTTATTGCGAGTCTTCCCAGACCGAATTTACGAAAACGATCGAGAGCTCCGCATGGTGGCGCACTGCACACGCCAATCATCCCGAGCGTCCCTCAATACTAGCTAGAAAATATTACAGCCCTTTTGACTTCCAGTTTGTTTATGGATAGACTTGTTTGTTAATAAGTGTAGGACGAAACGTTGTTCCACGGGAATACCTCAATCTTGATAGGTCGTTACTATATTCAGACGGAGTTGGCAAATATTCTGTCATTTTACTGTTATCCCGAATCATTATATCATTCCAATTCACGTAAGATTACTGGTATTTCCGCGTGTAGTGAAAACGGCATTTAGAATTCTTCGTTTCACAGAATAAAGGTGCAACCTTTGCCCTGCAAACGGCTAGACCTACGGGTGACTCGGATGACCACGTAAAATGACAGTCCAGTTTCCATTAGGAGACGCATTACAAGCTCGCTTTGGCTTTGAGCTCACTAATCACTATTTTGAAATGGCGGTGTGAATAAATGATTGAATAAAGATGGGGCTTTCTCTTATATTACATATATACAGGCTAACAAATGCTTAACTAGAACTGAGGCAGGAAATGTTTACCAGCGAATTGGTCCTCTGACTAGCGTGCAATTGTTCAGTGGACCTTATTGTTAAGCATAGTTATACACTGGAATTCTTTTCGAAAGAGCCTCATGGAATAAAAACTAAATTAAGAAAGTAAAGTAAATTCCCATTCTCAGTATTACTTTTCCTTTGTCCCTAACTTCTTTCTGTTCCAGCAGCTGTTTATTCAATTAGGCTGTTGAATATTCTGAGGCAAGCGGACCTCTGATAGTTGCTTGAGTGAATTGAGTTATTTCACTTCCTTCACGCTTTAAGTTTTCACCAGTAGGTTCCACTGCGCTTCTCCTACACCTCCGAAAAGGGCGAAGAAAGTGGCGAAAAGCTTCTCGGAAAGTATGGAGCCTCAAGGCGTACACGAAAGGGTTGATCAAAGAATTTAGCGTGATTAACACAAAATGCATGTCTCTTAACCAATGAATGACCTCGCAGCTACAGCTACTGCACGTATTCATGATGTAGATCATGATGCATGCTGGGCCATAACACGCCAGGAAAGCTACCAGCATCACTAAATGCGTCTTGGTCAGCTTTTTCTCCCAAAGCATGTTTCTTTCTTGGGCCTTGTTCCGTTCCTCGTCGCCTTGGTGTAAGTTGTTCAGTTCCTTGACCTTCTGTTTTACAGTCAAGAACACGCGCACATACGAAAACACCAGGATGAAAACTGTGCAAAACAGCGTCAAGTTGGCGAACACGAAAGCGAGCGTCACGAATCCGATGACGAATAACAAACCACTGCAAGCCACTGACAATACCCAGATAGCAATGGATCCTTGCAGTACGCGAATGTTGGTGATGTTTGCTCTGTACCACAGTGGTGACGTAATGGCCAGGTAGCGGTCGATTGTTAAGATGGCCAGGCTGAGCAGTGACGCTGTACAGCACATGAAATAAACGAACTGCGACAAACTCGAGAACGAGATTGACAGACCATGCGCCTCTCTCCAGTGGGTAACCATGGACAGCGGTTCTGCCATGACACCCACGATCAAATCTGTGATAGCCAAGTTTAAAATCAACAAGATGTAAGGAGTGCGGCGAAGATTCTTATTCGGGTCCAAAAGGACGGACAGGATAATCAGCAGGTTGCCAATGACTGTGAACACCACAAACACTGCAGCTGTGGATAAAGTGGTGAGGGATACTTCCCTTGGGGCCCAGACTCCTTTGCAGTGACTTGCTGCCAGACCCATCGTACTTCACACGGACAGGCAACTATGGCTCGCTTCAGTTCTCCTTAAATCGTAGCTTGCCAAAGACAAAGACCACGGGTAACTGTATATTGGATTAAAATTTTCTAAAGAAACAAATAAAGTCAAAAGCATACGTAAGATTTGTTTCTACAATAGGCCACTTGCACTAAGAGGTCATGTGACCAATGCTTCCTTTAAACAATGAGTTGGAATCTTGCTGATGCCAAAAATTGACAGAGCACATAAAAATTAGCTTACACCCAAAGTCTGAGAGGAAACGCATTTAAGGGAGATATTTTATGGCACTTTGATTTTTCAACAAAGTAGTATGATTTGTATTGGTTGCCATGTTGGAGGGTATACTCTTGCCCTCCAATATGGCGGCCAAAACTACTTTTTGCTTATATCTTGTTAAACGTTTGATAGTTACGCTCAGATTTGCTGTAAACGTTACCACATCATTTTTTCAACATCCTCCTTGAAGTTTAAGTGGAAAGCTTGTGTTCAGAAAGAAGTAATTCATAATTTTAAAAATAACATTTTGGTCACGTGACCACCGAGGAACTTACTCATTTTAAGAAAATGGTGCGGGTTTGAAAAACTATATCACTATTATTTTGCTTAAGATACGACCCACTAATCGTTTTTCGAAGGCAAAATCATATAACTTTCATTTTCATGAAAACTATGTCAGATGACCTCTTAGTGCAAATGGCCTATTTCAAAACGTTTGGACATGCCTTTTACTCTCGCCAGTTACTGAAGGACGTGAAGTTAGGGACGGCTGCGGGCCATTAGCAATGTGATGGGTGATGGAGGAGGGAGAGAGATTGGTTCATGCAAGCCAAGATGTCTGGAAAATTTTTTCATAGAAAAGTTCCACCACTTTTGATTTAGTCTACATTCTTTCGCACAGATTTCATCCAATCAGAAGCCAGCTGAAAACTGTCCTCGACTTCTGATTGGTTCATGTTTGCATGAAAGAATGTGGGTTAATTAAAGGAGGTCACACTTTTAGGCTCCTTGTTGTAATGGTAAACAAATCATACCTTTACAATACTGAAGAATCAGTTCAATCAAATCAAGAAGGCAGTAATCCAACTTGCCTATACCGAGACCTTTCCCTTAAAAAAGTCCAAGGGTTACCCGCGTGCAGACGTCTGATGTTTCCTTTGTTGAATAGGAGACGTCTGCACGCTGGTAATTACAAGGAGGCTTTTCACGTTACTACCACAGTGTCTATCGTTAATGATTTAATGCCTTGTTTAATGTTTTTTCTACAAGGAGAAATGTGTAAAACATGTTAAGTTGCTCTAACCGGCTCCTGCTGCCACCGAAAGAACACTCCTTTTTATACCGGAATGTCAAAAATCATATAGTTGCTCTAGTTTTCAGATTTTCAGTTTTCTTTTCTCGGACAGACAAGCCAGATCACATTAAAGAAGACACACGATCATTTTGGGTCCCGACCGCTACCTATGAGACTAAGGAAGTTACCTTAGATCAAACAATCAAATTATTGCTGAATTGAAATCCCTGTATCTTTTTAATTTGAGTCAATTTGCGTGTCGATCTCATGTACAAAATCAAGCCGTGATTTTTTAACTATTTGTGAAGAAACCTGGGAAAAATGTGTTTGTGCAAACTGAACACGAACTGATCGTGTATGGAATTTCACGGCATAAAAAAAATTCCATGCTGAGGCAATTGTGGCCGAAAAAACAATTCAAGCAAACTGAAAAGACACAAGATTTTATAGGGCTTAAATTAACCTTTCTCATTTCTATTGGATCGATCAGGCAAGGCAATTACAAGGGTTTACAAGTTAAAAAAACTACAGCTAAACTACATTGTTAATCACTGCAGGCTAATGGCTTTCCTGTATTACAGCGGCAGAATTGAAAGAAAAGGAAAAAGATGTAGTGTTTAAAATGGCAGGGCAAGAAATGGCTCATATATATAATAAATCATGTTTGTCAAAGCAATCGTCACGTACTGTAATCATCAAGTTTTGAGATTTAGATTTGGCTCGAAGAAACCGCTTCGATTTTTTTATTGTTTTGCTTACATATGTTTATATATACTGCCAGTGCGCCAACAGTGATGTAAGTGACACCTGTATTCACTCGCTCACTGGGTTCTAGCTATATAGTGTCTGCGTGGTAGAGGTGTGCGCTAAAAACAGGCTTGTTAAAGTTTGGGAAGAAAAGCGTGTGAATCTCTCTCAGTGCTCTCTGATAGTCATGCCCGCCTGATGAAGAGTAAAACAGGTTGCAATGTAACATGAACAATAAAGTGGATCGAATAGGTCCGCGTTGCCCCAAACCTCTTTTTCAAAACGAGGCTTTAGTGAGAAGTCTTGTTGAAAATAATTTTATGTTTTCCAATATAATACACAGATTTAGCCAGGGCTAAAAGCGAAGCTCTCGATAATATTTATAGTTTGTTCAAACAAAATATAAAATCATGTAATGCTAAGCGGCGAAGGAAACGCCGGAGAACGGTGAAAAACAACAATAGGTCTAATGAGCAAAAAAGCAACTTTGCACGTGCAGCACACTTTTTTTGTACATTTCTTTGCAGTTGTTTTGCACGACTACAACTTGAAACTTCCAGAAACTTCTTAGTTACACATTTCTTTCGTTCACATTTTTTTCACTGCCGCTCATTTTCACCTTGCATTGGTGGCCGCTAGCATTTCTCATTTTGTCACCGCCGTTACAAAATTTTCATGTTGTTCTTCCAAAAAAATGTCTCCTTTGTTTTTTATCTCTCGCTCTAAATCTCTGTTGCCCTTTTTCTCGTTGAGCCTCGCTGGCCTGCCGCCTACTTTCTCTTTTTCTCTGTGTTTCTCTTGCTCTATTTTCCAAATTTGTGGACATGAAAATTAATCTAATTAATCTAATCTAAACACGGATACAGAGACAATTTCTAATTTCCATTTTAATCGCTTTCATTGACTCTTTAGTTGTTTCTGCTCTACAAGACGCGGGTGGCTATGCGATCTCCCGGCAAAATAACCTCGAGTTGCATTTGGGTTGCCATACCTGTTGATTGAGTTATTTTACATTGGTATACCTGTGGTGCGGACGGACGGTCGGGCGGTCGGTGCACGGTAACGTGATTACCAAGTTTCCTCGGATGGGTAGTTTACCACATTTTCTTACCCATAGTGCTCCGCTGCGCGCTTCGCGCGCGAGAGCTCCGCTATTATATAACTTATTTCTTATTTCGACTTGAAATTGAGGTTTTCATCCTGGCCTCTTTTAAAAGTGAGGAGGTTTTGAAAGTTGTAAATTTTGTCTTGAATAAAGGATGCATGAGGTCTTATCGTGCTCAGAATCATTCAAAAACTGTTTCACCAGACGATATTCCATGGGATTATTGATATTCAATCAGCTTTCAATTCTGTCCTCTTTTTAGCAATTCCGCGAGCGAAAGCAGTTTGCTTGGACATTTTAAACTTTTCTCGACCCGCGTTTTTGCCTTTGCTGCTGTTGTCGATGACGATTATCTTTTCTATTCTTTTTTTTTTCAGAAGAAAGAACTGAAAAAACACTCTCCTAACGGGGCGTTTCCTTATTACTGAATCGCGCCGACACTGCAATCATATTTTGAGTGGGCGGGCGAGTGATATCACTTGGTGGAGGCGTTTGCCATGCATATATTTGTCCCGTTATAGTTTACCAGCCAGTCGAAAATAATAATAAAAAAACTGGCAAAAGAAATCAGTGAACTCTAACTTATTCTCATCACAAAAGTACCCCGGAATTTTTTCACAAAACGATGTTGATTAGGAAGCCAATAGTTATAAAAGAAATTTTCGGATGATAAATGTATAACGTCAGTAAATGAGGGTTGTACCTTCTGACTCTTCTTGCTCCCGGCTTTAAAAGTTAACAATTTGTCAACACAATAATTAGATTAAACTTTTCAATACAGTCGCTAGATTTTTTTCTTACCTTGACTGAAGTAAAAACTTCACCAATTAAAATACTTCCAATTATCAACTGTCGATTTTTCGTTATCCAGGAGTGTCCTGAACTCGCTGAAAAAACAATATTAAAAAAAACATTCAGTTTAACTGATCAAGAGTTTTCGTTAATGATTTAGTTTTAAGATGAAGAGGGCTGTTGAAAAATTAAAGAAAAAACCTTTCAAACCTTTAGCTATGTGGTGGTAAGCATTAATGTGCTTATGAGTAATTCCTCTCCATTTCACGCGTGCATGTCGCGTTTAAAAGCAAGTATACATTAGCTAGTTTTACACCGACTAAAGTAATACCTTGATACAATTTAATCCCGCAATACACGGAAAACTGATTCACAATTCACTGCGACATACCTCAGACAGTCAGGTAGGTTTAACATCAAAACAAAAGTTTAATTCCATACAAAACACTTTTTCATTTCTGTGGGCTTATCTTTTCGCTGATTCAAAGCTTAACCTTTTCAGCAATGAAAACACTTGAAAAAAAGAACAGCTGTAGAGGGTATTAAGACGCTGATAACGGGCTTAAGCTGTTAAACAATCTTACAGTTTTGAGATTATATGATATGGCGCACGTACTTACAAGAAGTCGTGAAATAATTATAGTGAATGTGGAACACTACAGGCCTGAAATATTAAAGGTAGTGTATTCAGAAAACATTTGTTTAACAAAGCACTATTTATAATAATCGAAATGAAGAAAATAATCAAATCTCTGTTAGCAAACGGTGAATACCCTGTGAAATAATTGAAGTGCATTTATGCAGCACAATTGTAAAAGAGATATGCTTTACTTGCTTTATTTACATTTTTAACCGAAAATGCTGGCGATGACAGAAGCCCTTGTTGTTAAATAATGTTCTTTTTTGAGAGAAGAAAACGTTAAGTATAACTGGGACTGGATTGTAAGGTAACATTCTTTGATGTTAAACACTAAAGTGAAAACAAACAAACAAACAATTTCCTGATAACCGGATGATGGCAATAAAGTTCACTCGTCATAAATAAGT